AACATTTATTTCTACTAAATTTTCTACACAACATAAATAGCTGAAATAGTTACTTTTTTGTAACACTAAAGTGTATAGTAGAATGGTAAAGAAAGTATGTTTTCAGTCTACTTGAGTTTATTCTCTGAGCAGCACATTCATTGAATTTGCAATTTATTTGTAAGTATTATTGATAAAATGTGTTCAGTGTTGGATTTCTATAAGACCACAAAATAAGTTACTAAGCAAGGTGACTTTATTATACCTTTTCTAGTATGAAAGAATACCACCTGCAGAGAGCCTTAGAATTTCCCCTGTAAAAAGAAGTGACAAGAAAGATATATGATTCTAGAGCTTGGGCTGAGTTATTTTAAAGCAGCCTTTGCAGTACGGTAAAATGGTTGGGTCTGTAGAGTTTATATCATAACAGCTTTGGATTAGTGTGCCCAGCCAGGTGAGACTTTTGGAGCAAGTGTCGAGGAGCATGCTGTGTAGTCTTGCTCGCTATTTTTTCGGCTTCACAGTCTCATCCTCCGGGGCAGAATAGTCCCTGTATGAAAAACTTATTTTGTTTGTTTTCATTATTACTTAACAGTGAAGCATTCCCTGTACCATTTCTTATATGTGTCCTAAAAAGGCAAAAATTTATTTCCTACTTTCATGAAGTGAGAGTATTTTAGATTTCTGGTTCCTGTCTATTTTGATGTTTATGCTCTTAAAAAACAAACAAACAAAAAAAGATGAATGATCTGTTATAGAATAAATATTTGTGTCTCATTAAAATTTACTTGTTTCAGTCCCAACCCCAAATGTGCTGGAATTTGGAGGTGGGGCATTTGGGAAGTAATTATGTTTAGACGAAGTCATGAGTGTTGTCAGAGGAAATGAAATAAGAACACAAGTCATGGCATCCATAAGCAAGAAACAGTTGCAAGTGATAATTTAAAAATACACAAAATAGGAAACCATGATTATGGAGAATTCAATTTCTTTCAAAATAAATAACTTGGTCAAAATGCTTAGGTGTATGCTAAATACACAATATTTTGTTCATAAAAATGAAATATTATTTGAGTACAGAATATGTTGGTCATTTTATAGAAACACAAAATACATTTTAATTTTATTTTGTGTATCTTTCATGTCATATTTTGAAATAAATAATTTATGATTTTGTTCTTATACATTTTCCTGAACATTAAGCAATTTATTTCCATTTAAAATTTATTATCTAAGAGTGTTATAAACCTAGGCACTTAGAGTAGAATGTCCTCTGATACTTTATTTTTACAAAGTTTCTTAATATTTTTATAATTATTTATTATTAATAAAAAATTTGAAATAATCCTTATATATCTTTGCATATATTTGGTTAGACATATGTCAATACTTAGCTATTCCAATAGATAATTAAAGTTTTTAGTTTAAGCTTTACCATCAATGTATATATTGTTATTGAATTTTAATAAACTTTATTTCCCTAAAGAAACAAAGTTTTGCCTTGTTTGCATATTCAGATTTCTCTGTAGTATTTTGCATTAATAATATTATTTAACCTGAGTAACAAACTTTTTTTTTTCAGCCACAAGGAAACCTGGAAACAGAAAAATAAGACCAATCTAATCCAGAACACATATTTTATTTCATTTTTAAAAAATTTATTATTAAACTAACATTAAAGACATGTGGCACATTCTATTCATTTATATCTATTTTATATATAAATAAAGAACTAAGAAAATTTAGAAATATTTTAATGAACAATATAACTTCTTACTAATTGAAAATTGATTTAAGAATTATCATTAATTAATCAATTAATACTAGTCTGTTGTCTCAAAGTTGTCCAAAATAATAAAAATTATAGTGTAAGCCAACATATTAAATCCTTTTTGATATGTATAACTACAGACTTCACAAGATTAAACATCAGTAAAAGACATCATTGATTGTAATTTAATTTAACCAATTTTTTTTTTTTTTTATTTTGGCAATTCTAACTTATTAAATTAAGTGTAACTTACTGGAAACATATAACTAATGTACATTTTTTAAAAGTTTAAAATAGGAGAAATTAAATCCAAGTCTTAGATTTATTCAAATATTGTGCTAACATTATTTTAACATGGTGTTAAAGCTAAATGGAAGACACAGAGCTACTTTTAAGCTAAAATTAGTTCACCCCAATTATATAAAAGAATCATTTAAATATCAGGAATAGTGCATAGACTTGTCAAAATTTAAGATGTTTGAATCTATGTCATGAATCTACTTATCTAAAACCTAAGCCATTACCCAAACTCCCAGTTTTTTTTAATGTTGAGCTATAGTTTTCCAAAGAAAAGCATGGAAAAGCTCATACATTTGAATTTTTCAGTTTAATTTATAATTTCTTAATTATTTATTTGGATAAGATATTCATAGTGTGTGCTCTAAGTGAAAGAACAATATTTTGTTTTGTTTTGGTTTGGTTTGGTTTTTGTTTGATCATCAACTAATTCCAAATTTTCCCAAAAGAAGTAAAATAGAAGAAAAGAAGAGAACGAAAAAGGATTTTCAAGAGTCAGCTTAACATGTGTAAATTTATTACTGGAAAGGCTAATTATTTTTCCTTCTAACGAAAAGAAAAGACTTATATGCAATAAAAACATATTTTGACACACACAGGTGATGAAGAATCATTATATATGTCAGTAGTCCTCCCACTTATTTGCTGTTTCAGTTATCTACAGTCAACCACAGTTTGAAAATATTAAATAGAATACTTGAGAAATAAATAATTCACGTTTTAAATTGTGTAATGTTCTGAGTAACGTGATGAAACCTTTTGCCATCCAATTCCTTCCTGCTGCATCGTGTCCAGGATGTGACTCCTCCGTTTAGATAATCTCTGCCCGTTAGTCACTTAGTAGTTCTCCAGGTTATCAGATCCACTGTCATAGTTTCACAGTGCCTTTTCTCAAGCCACCCTTTTTTTATTTCGTTATGTCCCTGAAGCGAAAAGGAGTGATGTTGGCAATTTGATGTGTCAAAGGGAAGCCATGAAGTGTTTCCTTTAAATAAAAAGGGGACAATTCTCAAGTTAATAGGAAAAGAAAAAGATGTATTCTGAGGTTGCTAATGTCTATTGTGAGAATGAATCTTCCACCTGTGAAATTGTGAAGATAGAAAAAAAAAAAATCCGTGGTAGTTTTGCTGTTGCACCTCAAACTGCAATTGTTACGGCCACAGTGCCTTGATGGGTGCCTACTCAAGATTTAAAATTTAAAAAAAGAAAAAAGAAAGAAAGAAAAGAAAAGCATTAAATTTGTGGATGGAAAACATGAATACAAAACATGCTCCATATTGAAGACATGTTATACTAGAAAGCATTGAGTCTATACAACGACTTCTGCAAGGAATCCCATGCATGTATCAAGAAAAATATAGTATATGTAAGATTCAGTATGATCCATGGTTTCAGGCATTTCAGGGCCTTGGAATGTGTGTCCTGTGGATAAAAGGATATAGCAGGTAGATAGCAGATAGAGATAAAGTTCATAAAGACCACTGAGGCCTTGTTAGAAATTGATATTTTCTTCAGTGATTAAAAACAAAAATTTTACTGAAAGGATAAAAGAGTAGTTCTTTTAAATAAAAATCCATTGGAGATTCCCTATCTTGCTCTAGACTATTTTTTTTTTAATTTAGTGTTCAGAATAAAAGTGGGCGGGAAAGAAGCTAAATTTTTAGTATAGAGAAAGGAAAGCAGAGCCAGAATGTAATTAAACATCTTCACTAATAGAATTCCAAAGCATCTAGTGACTCTTATACATTACGCTCCTCATTCAGACTTAGAGCTATTCTCTTATCTTTCCCACATCTTATATATGAGTATCATGTGTCTTCATATCCTTTCTGGTACGTCTAACAGTAATTTATGTATTAGATCGGCAAAATAAATTCATTTAATTAAGTTTAAGTTTATAGTGTTAAAATTAACTATTTTGTTATATTCTGCCATCACATAAAAGGGTACTTTTAAAAATTATGGAAAAATGGAATTCAAAGAAAATATGAATCATTCCATAAACTTTTGAATTACCCTCATATTAATTTACTCACTCAGCAAATATTTGTTCACAGATCTGGTGCAGTTCCTTATCAACGTATGAGAAAATGTCAAATTTTCTACTCACTTTTCTAAATCACTGTGACAGATTTCACTGTCACTCCAAGTTAAACAGATTCATTAAAAATTAAAAAGTGACACTAAAGTATTAGAGAAAAAGAGAATCTAAAGGGAGACAGAAGAAGAGGAAAATAAAAGATATCATGATGTGTTCAAAGAAATGTGCACAAGTGAAATTGCAGAGACAAAAACCTGTTGTAGCAAAAGAGAGACATAGTTTAAAACTACAGGTCTCACTGTGTTATTCCCGAAGGTGCTGAAATTTCAGTATAAACTTTCTTAATTTTCACGTTGGAAACCATTACCTTGCCTTACATGCTACTTCTCAATTGTTGCATACTTATACGGGTGTTACAAGGAAATTATTTTCATTTTCACTGCATGATTTTGAATTTGAAAGGGGCTTAAACTATACATGGAACATCTTAAATTACATTTATGAATAGCTATGATAGATCTGTTATGATGTAATTCGTCGAAAGTTATTTTTTAATTTCCTTCACCAGACATGTTTATGGCCAACATAGGCGACTATACGTGATTCACAAACAGCTTTCATAAAAAGAAAGGAGATGGAAAAATTGATCTCTAGAAGTTCCCTTTTACTCTGTGCAGTAAAATGATAGCAAATAATATTGAATTGAAAATAATATTTGTTTTGTCTCTCTCGGAAGAAAAACATTTTACTTGTATTTATTTGTCAATGTAATGATTTCTTATTACATTCTGCATTCCCCTTAATACAGGGGAAATATCACCAGCGTTATTAAGCTTCTAATTTTAACTACTTGATACTATATGCTCATTCCTTTAAAAAGTATTATTAACAGTGATTTTGTATTATTCACAGATATTGGCTGACCTAGAAAATCATGCATTATTTAAGAATGATCTGGAATGTCAAAAGCTGATTCTGGAAGCAATGAAATATCATCTGTTGCCAGAAAGAAGAACTTTAATGCAAAGTCCTAGAACTAAACCAAGAAAATCTACAGTTGGAACTCTGTATGCTGTAGGAGGAATGGATAACAACAAAGGTATACAATTCTAGATTTGCCTTAACACACACCATGTGTCATATCATGACACATTTTTAATACTGTAACCTGTATAATACCAACAAAATTCACATAAACTTAGCTTTAACCACTATGATTTAAGATAACCAGACAAATTAAAAGACCATCTCATTTTTGGTCTGTAGCTGCTGCTTCTGCATCTTATTCATGTTTACATTTTTTATCCATTTGTTGTGCATTATATGCAAAACTTCATGTGAAATGAAAAGGGGATTTGAATTACTTACTTAGAAAACACAGGACAAATAATTTGTTGAATATATTTGAGAACCGTATTTCAGTTCTAGGAAATGTAATGTGTCAGGTACATGCTTGCTGAGAGTGCAATTGTAAAGAGAGCCTCTACATTTGAGGAGTTGAGAATCTCACATAGAAGCCAGAAAAATTCACAATTATAAATGAGTGCAATAATGATGGAAATTGTAATTTACAAATTTAGCCATGCTTATCAATTTAGTCCTTTAAAAGAAAGTGAATGATTTGGTTAAATCTGAATATGTGCATTTGAAGATTTTGTTCTTACTTTTCTAGAGTTATTGAAAAATTTTCCATAAATATTTGTCTTCTTCATACTTTCTTATGTGTATCTTAATTTTCTTGAACAAGTACACAAAGTAACACAAAAAAGTAATAATGTAATTTTCATATTTTATGTCTAAAAAGTGATATAATTAACCATACTATTTCAAGTACATGTAAAAAGATGCAATTGGCAACAATAGAGTATGATCACATACTCAACCTCTTTTAAAAGAACTTTGTTATTAAAAATTCAGAATAAAGAGACAAAACTTATTCCAAACATTGTGAACGGTGATTCAAAAATAGAAGCTGAATGGAAACACGTTATATGATCAAGAGAATGACACATATAACCATTTTTTATCTGTCAAACAGATATCCTGTGGCTAGTAAATGGTCTTAATTTTTTGAAAAGTTTAACTCCTATTTCCTGGGAAGTTGATTTCTAGTAATTGTCACATTAAATGGGCACTACACTAGAGTATTAACATTTGAAAATGACTAAAAGACTAAAATTCCATTACAGGTATATAGCAAATCAAAAAGGTAAAAGGGCAAAATGTTTCTCACAGCCTGAGATGGATATAGGCACTTGTAAAAAGAATATATGTACTGGGAGAAGGTGCTAAACCTTAGAATACAGTATCTAAACTTCTTTAAAGCAAAATGGAATCTCACCCATGTAGGTTAGTTTCTTTTCCAAAGGACAGATCTGGATGGTGATTTTGAAGGTTGCTTTCATGTGTCAATTTGAGTAGGTTAAGGGATATCCAAAGAGCAGGCAAGAAATTATTTCTGGGTGTGTCTGTAAGGGTATTCCCAGCAGGGATTAGCATCTGAGTCTGTAGTCTGAGTAAAGATGACCACCCTCACCAAAGTGGGCTGGCCTCATCCATTGAGGGCCTGGATAGAACAAAAGGGAAGAGAAAAAGAGAATTCACCCTCTCTTTTGAAGCTGGGACAACCATCTTCTCCTGCCCTGAGATATCAGAGCTCCAGGATCCTTAGCTTTTTGACTCTGGGACTTACACTAGAGAACCCCCTTCGGCTTTGGATTGAAAATTACACCACTGGTTCCCCTGGTTCTCAGGCCTTGGGACTGAGACTGAGTTGCACCACTGGCTTTCCAATTCTCCAGCTTACAGGCTGGAGAATCATAAGACCTCAAGATTATCATTGACGTCCATGTCATGTGAGACAATTCCCATGATAATCCCATTTTGTATATCTATATATATCCTATTGTTCTGTTTATCTGGAAAACCCTGACTAATACAACAATTGTGTATAAATATAGATACCAACTCAAAATATAACTTTTTTAATGTAAAAAGTTGTTATAATGACTTTACCACAGAAATCCATTAAACATCTTCTCTCAATCTTTGTTTTCTATTTTCCCTCCTTCTACTTGAAGAAATAATTAGCTTCTTAGGCTATCCTAACACATTATAACATAAGAACTATTGAAAAAAACCTAACATTGCACCTAGTAATAAGCTTAGCTTTTGTTTAATGAAAATGAGTTGTAGCCATTGTCACTCATTCATATATTCCTTACTTCATTCATTCAAGACACACTCATTTAGCACTTACTTTATACCATGTCCTCAGCTCTAGGAACTTGCTATTTCTACTTAATTCAAGACCGGTGAGTATTGCAATTGTCAAATAAAATTACAGCAAACATGGAAAAGACAAAATAAAACATAACTGTTAGTTAAAAATGGTAGATAATGTGTTGCTTTAAGAACTAGGGAAATGACATTAATCTCTCTACCTCCCGTCCCCCCCCTTCTTCATTTTTCACTCCTTCTTTAATATATGCCATTAGAAGAACATTTTAGAAGTTTTCAAAAACAAGAGATAGTGGTTCAAAACTCTTTTTTAAAGTGGTAAAACAGAAACTATCATACCAGATAAAAATCGGACCAGAAAATAGTTAGAAATTACACTAACAGGCCAAAGAAAATTCATTCAAGCTGAGAAAACAAAGCTCTTAACCGGTACCCATGTTATCATTATGAGGGTAATAAATACCAAAAAACATGTACCACATGACATAGTTTGCCATCTCTTGGACCAGAAGTCTGCGAACGATATTATAATGCTGTGATAGGTTAATTTTACCTATTAAAATAAATAAATATGCTAATTTTCAGTGACTTTCAATAAACATACTCATCCAAGTCCCAGATTAATAAATATGGCTTTGTGTGTGTTTATCAAATTTAAATGAGTGCTATTTGTTTTTAAAGAACATTGTATTCCTCAGAAAAATGACTATATAAAATTAACTTCACTTGGAAAACTGCACAGGATAATTTTTTTCTAAAATAAAAAATATATACTAAATATGGTTACCTTGTGACTAGGATTGAATATTAAACAATAAATTGATATTAGTAAAAAAGTCACTGTACTATTAAAGAAACAAAGAACATCACTAGCCTGAATTTATGACCTGCTTAATGTATTATATCATTTAATTGATCTTCCCAGAGTATTTAACACTATGAGAAAGTTCTCTCTGAATAAGTTAAGTGACTAAGTCAAACATTTGTCTAATTGCAAAAATATGCAAGCAGAAATTCAACTTTATACAACTTGTATTCTTCTAATTCTGTTTAAACATTAGTTAATTGTTTCAGTAATACTCACTAGCTTATGAAGTGGCAAAGTCTGGTGTCTTTAAATGCAATTGTTATAGCATGAAAGAATAAGAGAATATGGATACTATTGAGTTAAACTGTTTGCCAGAATTTGAATTTCTCTAAATTTACACAGTAGTCTTTTTGGTTTGAAGAAATTTTTTTAAAATGTAACTTTCTTAAGGATCATGAATCTCCTTCATTTTAGTATTTAATATTACCATCAATTTATTGTTACTCTTATCCAGTAAGGTAGAGGCTTAACAAAGTGTAAGAATAAAGGAGAGCTTAAAAATTTATACCTGATTAAAACAACAATAATGGAGGAAATAAAAATATTATTTGTGGAAAATTTTATGAATTATATCCATATGATTAACAGTATAAAAATTGTATATTAGATATACTTTATTACCTTAGATAAAATCTAATACCAAGCCTAAAACAAAAAGATGGAAAAGCAGAGAAACTAATAGAAACCCAATTGTTCAAGATATTTAAAGAGCAACTAGGATACTTTCAAGCAAATCCCTTGTATTTGCATCATGTTTTTACTGCTAGAGAATGCTTTCTACACCTTATTAACTTGCATTCCAGTAAATAGGCATTAAGATTTTTGTCTTAATTTGTGTTCTCTTTTCTTGAAAGGTAATGAGGTAAAGGGAATACAAATAAAAAAATACTTAACAAGTAAGAAGAGAGAAATCAAAATTTGAAAATGTAGCAAAAACTGAGAACTTACTTTGCATTCCAAATTTTAAGAACTCCACACTATATTCAGTATGTTTTTTTTAGAATCGTTGATGTGTTTATATTATGCTTTATATAGGGCTACGTAAATATTTTTCTAGGTTCCTGTTCATTTCCAGGATTGTTGGGATAAAGATAATATCTCAAGGGGTTGATAAAGTATGGATAACAACCTTTAAAGATGTTCTGCAGATATTATGAAAAGATAGAGTATTTTTCTCTCCTCCACTTTCTTCTTATATTCACAGATACATACATTCGATAATGATGCACATCTTTTGCACATTTGTGTGTGTGTGTGTGTATGTTCGTGTGCCAGACTCTGTATTAAGAACTGGTATAGAGTATTGAACACCATAAATATGATCCCTGTCTCATGGAGCTGCCAACTTTATCTGGGAAAACAAATAGTAAACAAAATATTTATGGATAAAATTAATGGTGCAAGAAGGGAATTGCATGTGCAATGAGTATAATGTATGGATAATAAATCTAGAGTAGCATAGAAAAGTACAGAAGTACAAAGAATGGTTTCTGTTGTCATTTTTTTTCCCCACTGAAATCTAAAGTATTATTAGGAATTAGTTTAGCAAATTATTGGAGTGGGAGGATGATGTTGGTAAGTAAAAGACTGCAGGTACTTCAGATGTGAAGTTTTAGAGCTGGAGGAGTACAGCATCTTCAAGGAATGTAGAGATGTCCATTATGGTTGGACTATAGCCAACAAGGAAAAGAAAGAAAGCATGATCATGAGGAAAGACACAAGCAGACTTTAATGAAAACACTCAGAGGTTCTATTTTGATTTGGAACTCCAGGGTCTCTGAAGGCAGGTGATGTTCTTAGTGGAGAAGGCAGGCAGTCTTTGAAATTAAAGATGCTTGTTCAAATGCAGGAGTGTCACTTAAAATCTCAGTGTTACGCTCTATTTCTGTCAAAATGAAAATAATTAAATGAGACAGAGTATGTAAAGATGCTAAATCAATACAACAATGCATTCTAACATGTTTGTTTTATACTGAAGGGATTGCCAGGGG